AGTAACGGTATTCTATAAAGGTTGACGGAAGTAAATCGGGGTCAGAGAATCCAAATCTGAAGTCGGTTTTTTCGAAATGTTGAGTTCCATTTTTCCATATAAATTTCTTTTTTAGAAAAAAGTGGTTTTTGAAAAAAAAAACGATTTTTTCCTGGAACAAAGTTGTTTAGGAAAACCATAACTTTCAGAAAGAGATCTTTTCGTGGAAAAGCCAAACTCATAATTTCGAAAAACCGACTTCAGATTTGGATTCTCTGACCCCGATTTACTTCCGTCAACCTTTATAAAAAATCGTTACTTTCCTAAAAACTCTTTCCCTGACGAAAAAAAAAAATTCAAAATTTCGAAAAAACTGATTATAGATTCGAATTCTCCGACATCGATTTACTTTCGTCAACCTTTATAAACAATCGTTACTTTCCTAAAAAACCCTTCCCTAACCAAAAAAAAAATAAATGCGGAAACTTCGGATTTAAATCCGAGAGTTATGTGTACTTCAAAAAGTGAATCATACGAATCAGTCATCCTAGAATGTCTGAACATCAAAATTATAGTGGGAAAACTAGCATTGCAAATGTTGATTTTCATTACGCGTTGCCAAACCAATTGGACTTCGGATCGAACAGCTCAAGTTTGAACTCTTTCCCTTGATCTACCCTAAAACAGTCATTTTTCCTATAACTTCATTTCTATTGGCCACTGCACAACCAATAGTATTACGTTGGAAGTGCAGTACACATTCGAGTTCTCCATCTCTGAAGACCTCGAAACATCATCACTGTGATCGGGAGATAGAGCGCTATTTTTTGGATCAATTAGATCGTGAACCAAAATATAGCCCAGTTCTCTTTAATTGTTCTTGTGATAGGTGAGTCAACCTTCTTATTTCTTTATGTTNNNAACTATGAAAAGAGCGGACTTTCTTTTTTTCTCAACCGTGAAGCATCTCATATACCCACAGGGTGTGGGTGGGTGTGGGTTTGAGTGAAGAAAAGATCAACCCACATTCACACTCTTTAATAAGATTCTGTTGGGATCCAGTTAGTTCCGATCCGACCATACAGAGTTTGAAAAGATCTAACTATCAGCTTCATTCTCCTAGAAATAGAAAAAACCATTGCAATCATTTTGTGTCTACTAGAAACTGATTTTGTCACATTCAAAGTTACACATTCTCAAATAGTTAATGATGACGTAGAAAAACAGCATACAACTTTACAGTGAGACTCACCTGTAAAAGAAAAAACGATGCAAATGAATTTCACTTTCGTTCTCTACGGTAATTTTATAGGCTTCGTTCTTTTTCTCTCATCGTTGAATGCTAAGCGACATCTCCATCATTTTATTCGCAATTCGTTTTGTGAGTTATGTGATCACATTGTGTATCTTGACGTGAATGAATCATCAGGTGACTGAAAGTTTTTACACATTGAAAAAAAATCCACATTGATATATGTTTCGCAACTTAGAACATCTTTTTGTCATTACTTTGAATAATGATGAGCTATAAAGAAGAAAATCTGAAAAGAAGAAAAAAAATATCTTAGCTTTCCTTCACATTTAATTAAACATTGGAAACAAGTTGGAACCATAATTTGGTGTCAAGAGCGTATTTTATTGGGTGGGTATGGATAAAGTCTCAGAAAAAATTCACACCCTATATGCTCACATCCGCAATAATATCAAATTGATGTTTTATAACCTTTATTATTTTTTGTTTCGAAGGATCTCTTAACCTTCTTAATATACATTTAGTTTGCTTTTGTACTTTCTTTTGTGAATGAATTTTAGGTGAGTGTGGGTGCGCATTCTCGCTTGACTAACATCCACATTAACACCAAATACTCATTGACTTGAAAATACTGTAAAAATACAGCATCTGAGAAGTACTAAGCTAAGGACGCAAACGGTTTTCATGGTATTCATAGCTCATTAGGATCTCCATGATGCACATAACTCAGAAGGCGTGAATGTGGATGCTACCCAAATATATGAGACTTTATTAATTTATGATAGCAGAATAAAAACGTATACAGAATATTATACTTCAATGGTCTTCTGATGCATTGAAGCAGAAAAATAAACGTACAACAGCCATAACAAAGCCGAATAAGTACGCTGTATAATCGATGTAATAATTGTCTCCTAATAGCATTATCTGATCTCCTCAACGGTTTATTTTTTACTATGGCAAAAGAAGTTATGACTGTACAATGAGAACATTATTTACGATCGATAGACTAATATTTCATAGGTCTTTTATTTGCTTATCTTTTATTCTCTCTTTTCCAGCAATAAACGTTTTACTCGAATATAGCGGTTTAGTTTTCTAATTTTCTGAACGAGAAACTATTCAGAAGTCTTCATCTCCGTTTTTGACATTTTTGCCTTTTTTATCAAAGTTTAAATAACACTTTTCTTAACTAATCGATTGTGCTATTCGGACTGTTTGCTTCAGTGAATGCCAACCATACTAACTCGTATTGAATTCAGATAAATGACGTAGTCAATCTATGAATTGAGTTTCTTGTATAATCATAGACTTCTTTGATTCTGGTACATGATTTGTTTAGACCACGGCTTAGGATTAAGTGTATCTTTTAGTGCATAGCTTATGACTCAACCTATTGAACTCACTAAAGACGTAACGAGTGGAAGTTTCAGTTGAATGTTTCAATACGTTATTGCCGAATAACTGTTGTTGTTCTATAAAATGAGAGAAAGCCCAGTGACCCACCCTATCAAGTTAAATTAAAAACTGGTTGCACGCAAACATGCAAGAATATGCCTTAGTAATTACTCTGTGATCACTACGAAATTAGCGCGTTACTATATTGAGTTGCTTGATGTCAGATGTTGCATTTTTACTTCTTTTAATCATATAATGGATCTAAAGGATAATAATACTAAAAAACAGACGTAGATTATGAAGAATTAATTATCATGAAATAGAAAGTGTAATCAGGATATCATTTCTTTTTATCTTCTAAATATATGCGAGATTAACGATTGCGTCTCTAGAATCGAAACATTTCTCGCGTATTAAATGTTAAATCGTCTATTATCAGGAATGAAAAATAAAATAAAAACGACGTATTATGTTAAATTCTAAAGTATTATTCTACTTTTGCCTACTGATGTGTAACAATTGACAGATATTTAAATCGATCTAACAGATTTAAACATTGATAATATTTAGTTATCTTTTTGATAAGATTTTAATAATAATAATTATGTCAGTACTCGAAACATAAGTTGTTTAAGTCAATTTAATATACAATATCTTTATTTTTTCTAGTTTTTATCTTCAATAAAAAAATATTATCAGTTTAGTTCTATAGAGTGAATAATAACGATTGAGATTAAATCGTTTTTGAGATCGTATTAATTATAGATTAATAAAACCGTATGTTATTTAATGCATATAAAAAAACAACGATGAACAATCATTTCATTTACAATATTTAGTTTAGGAATTATTCATTAAAAAAATTTTTCGTCGATGCCGATATGCATTTATTATTCAGACAAAAAAACAACATTCAAAGAATATTTCTTATGTAAATATCGATTTGATCGAGTAATGTTTCGGAAATTTTAAAGTTAATCATAACCTGTTGAGTTTGTTTTTATTTTTTCTCCGGAAGAAAATGTGTTGACTGATTTAAATAATTTTATAGGAAACCAAAAAAAAAAAAACAGAGCAGGATATCATTAACAACACATTTTTTAAATTTAAAAAGTCATTATCCTTCCTTCGACTTCTTGAATATCTTAATTTAAAGAAATAATTAAAGAAAAAGAAGTTTCCGTTATCTTTTTCGTGATACTTATTTTTGTCAATTATATCACGAAATATTTATTAATATAAACGTCATTTTCTGATGGTCAAAGTTAACAAAACAAAAGCATAGTAGTCTTAATTAAATTTGACAACATTAATATTCAATTGGATTTATTGAATTCTACATGCTAATATTTTTTGTTTTGTTTTTATAATAAAATCATCAGAAAATCTCTATATAATTTTTTTTATATCGAAAAAAAAAATTTATATTATTAGCATATTTTGACAGCAATTAATAATAAATACGAACATTGATAATTCTATAAAACAACAAAATGAATATAGAAAAAGCCTAGATCATAACGTTCTAACTCTACCAACATTCACTAGCGTTCATATACTATTTTATCGATCTATTCTCCTGTATAGTTTAGCGGTTTGAATATTTTTTTTTTAATTTTCATTATATCATCAAAGTTTTAATGAATGTTTGTTATTGTTAGAGAGTGTTAGATGTTTCGATTATTACCGAAGAGAACCTATGAATGAGAATTGATATACAAGGTTGTTTATACATGCTGGTGTAGTACTAATGGATGTTAATGTTCTGTTGGTTTTTACTGAGATTCGTCTAATTATGTCACGTGCGTGACATATTCGACGTTTGTAGAATCATGATATTGTGCTCGATTCTTTTTTTTGCCAAATTCATTTAGATATTTGTCAGAAATAAACGTGCTAGTGGAGGGTTAACATCACTTATTAATAGTCTATTTTTATGAGCACTATATTCCTATGAGAAAAAGAGCGAGAGTTTTTTCCTAGTATACCTTCATAAAAGAAAAAGAAAAAAGAAAAAGGAAAAAAAAAGAACTACACCAACATTTTTCTTTTTTTTTCTTCTCGTTCACTTTTGGTGTTATTTCTTTCCTCTTTCATACGAGACAGGAAACCGTGCAAACTTTTTATTAGTGCTATGACAATCTGATACCTAGAGCATATTAGTAAACACGACAGTCCGATTTAACTTACGAATTCTTACAGGAAGAGAAAACTAGACAAAGAAACAATATTTATTCATAGTACAAAATTACATTCATTATCTCTTAATTTTATCTACATTTCTTGCTTTAAAATAAAATAACAATAATCATTACAATAGAATATACAATTTAGTTTGTCATTATTAATATCAAGATTCTAAATCATTCCTATGTCAGTCCTACAAGGTAACAATATTAGTGGTTTTACTCAAATTTCATCAACACATGATTCTGTTCCAAATCGACATATATCAGACAATTTTTCATCATCGCGTTCGTATGCGCCTGAATGTAAGTATAATTTGTTTTATTCCAAAAAGAAAACAAACACATGATGGATTACTAATTACATTTGCCTAATCATGACAAGAACTACTACACATAGAAAATCGGAAATCTTCGAAGTGCATTCATATACCATAGAGACTCATTTACCTTGACGTCTACCTCTTTTTTTTCTTCTTTACAACGGGAACAAGTAGTTCAAATGAATTATACATATAAAAAATATATATATTCATTATGTACGCAATTCAACGAAAAAACGAGTAATAAGATCTAAGAAAAAAAAAAAGACCTAAGTCTTAGATTGTGTCATATCTTAGAAAGATTATGACATTTTGATAATGAAATAGATTCTTACTTTTTCTTTTTTTGCTTATTGAAGATCATGCACAAACTACTTATGTTACTCAACGTCGTCTATGTGAACAATTACGTGAAGAAGCCAAACGTGAACGCATAAAGGTTTCAATTGTTTGTAAAGACCTTGTTCGTTATATAACTGATCATCAATCAAATGATGCACTCGTTGTTGGATTTTCATCACCAAAAGATAATCCTTTTCGAGATAAACAACAATGTTCATTAATTTGAATTTTATTAAAAAATAAATAAATCGAAATTTGACAAAAAGAAAATTGTAGTTTTGTTTTTTTTTTTTTTTTTAGAAATATTATTTCTATTGGAAATAATCAATGCTAAAAATTATATTTATTCAATGTCATTTACAAATTTATATGCTTTATATTTGAATAAAGCGAGAGAAAAAAAAAAGTGTCAGTAGTTCATTACGATTTAAATGTTATTTACTACGCAATACCTCGGTAGTCTTATCATGAGTATTCATCTGAAAGACATTACTTAAACGGATGTTTTCAGATAATTTACTCGATCTGCTTTTTTCTAGCTTTTTAATAATCTACATCAAAGTAATTAACACTTGCAGTGGCAAACTGTCCCTCATAGCATATATTAGCTACATATCATGCAGAAAAATCATAAAATTATTATTCAAAGAAACTCGATTTGCGAATTTACGAGCTATTTCTATCAAAAGTTTAGAAAGTCGAAGAGATAAAAATGTAGTGTTCTTCAAAGATACAATCATCTCATTAATATATAATAAGAAATACTTTTCAAACATATAGCAGTGGCAAAAATTATTTGTACAATCAATAGAATTTACTTTATATGCTTTTGATACAGTTTCATGTAACTTGATAATAGTGTCACTAACAGAGAGAAAAACAATAATGAAATTTCCATTAGAATATTTCTTTTAAAAAAGAAAAAAATTTAAAAAAAACAGTTCAATGTGATTGAATTTAACTTGTCATTATTATAAATTTAAAATGATTATATCAAGATACTTTTTTTATTGACATTTTCTATAAATTCTTGCTATTATATTTCAAATAATTCTCAATTATTCATATATATGGACTTTGGATTGTTATAATTATGTAGAATATGCTTAACAGACATGTTTACATTTACGATTCATTGAGTTAGACGTACTTTTCAATGATCTCTATTAAATTGTTCCAGATAAATGATCCAAATAACAGAAACCTTAAAAATACTAATGTTATCATTATCGAAAGAATTTTAATTGATCCATGATTAATATTTTCTATGCTTTTCTTTTTAAAGGATATTCAGATAGAACTAACATTTTTCTTTTCCATCTGTTACTGACACGATTATTAAGTTACATCAAAGTGTCAGAAATATATAGATTAGATTTTATTAATTCTACGTATAATTTTTGCCATATAAAATATTATTCGTGTTAAGTAATGTGAGAATATCTCCAAATAATAAAAGCGAAACAATCTCATATTTCCTAGATTACATAGTAAAAGTCATTGTATTTTCACTTTCTCAACACATCGATTTATTCTTTAATCATAATCAAAAGTAGAATTGTATGAATAATTTTTATTTACTATCTAATATATAATTGAAATTATGATGTGTTAATAATTGAAAGATCTTGTAAAAAAAAATTTTTCTTCGATATTCTTAAATGAATAAATAGTACTCATGAAACTCTACAAGTATATTTATATTAATAAGTTTTTAAAATGTTTTATTTCAAAATAAAATTTATAAATAACCATAAAAATATACAGGAAGAAGTATGTAGTTTTTTCCTCGAGAGAATATACTCAATTATTTTTTTATTATAATAAACTTTTTCTCAATATTCTTTTTTCTTTTAGCCGTTTCAGGAGATTTTTTTTCAGACTCAACATGTGAAAGTATTACTAAAAACATGAGTTAATTCATGCATTTAGTAGCAGTTTTGCATGCTGAGCTTGAAAAGCATGTTCTAATAACTTCGAGAAACAAGAAAAAAACATTCAAAAACAAGTCGAATAAATTCTCTCGAGGAAAAAATTGCATAAATCTTCCTATGATTTTTAATGATTATTTGTAAATTTTGTTTCGAATAAAACATTTTAAAAACTTATTGATCTAAATATGCTTGTAGAATTTCATCAGTACTATTTATTCATATAAAAATATCAGAGAAGAATAGTTTACTCGTGTTTTTTTTGTCCTTTTGAAGAACTGTCACTTTGACTCAATATTCACAATTTTTTAGGTAGTAAGTATCAACGCTTGAAGAACGTTCTTCTTCGCAATTATTGTACCCTCAGCACTTTTTTTCAACTAAAAATAATTAAGAAAAAAAAAAAAAAAAAAAAAGAGACAGAAGATTATTCTCTTTATTCATCATATTTAATCATCCAGATATACTATATCCCATAACAACAAATTTTATCACGACCGGAACTTGTTTAACATATAAACACAATCTTTCTTCACTGGTTTTCTTTTCGTAATGTTCTTTTAAAAAGAAAGAATAAGTTTTCAATGCACCGTTCTGCTCTATTGTTATAAGTTTTTTTTCTGTAGAAGTGTGACAAAACAAAATACACACGCACACACACACACACATTGACAAACACACGTATTTAACAGAAAGACGTGAATGTTTTTTTAAAGATGAATATGACAATAATTTTCAAGTCCACTCAATACTAGATATAAAATCCAAAGTAAAAGAAATAAAAGGCTTGATATAACACGATATTTCATCGGACCACCTAATTCTCCTCCACCAAAAATATTTAAACGTCTTATCATTAATAGTATTATAGCAACACCTGCAAATGAACAAAATAATGTTACACTAAATGATAGTGAACCTTTTTCGACTTCAAATTTTGTTTGTTTAAAATAATGATACCATGCTGACATAGCCCATGGTAAACCTATACCTAAAAATACATTAACAGCATTTGAACCATTAACATTTCCTATTGAACTATCGGCATATTTATCATGTTCAGCAGCCACTTTCGATGCAAATGTATCTTGAAAAAAAAAAGAAAACACAAAAAAAACAACAAATTTGTCTTTTTGAATTATGTTTTTTCTACCAGGTAATGAAGTTCCTAATGCAACAAAAGCAATAGCTGTCATTGTATCCGTAAGACCAATCGTACAACCAAACTAAGAAAAAAAAAAGTACTAAATTATCAAGAAAAAAAAAAAGAATAAATCAACAAATAAATAATTTACATGTGTAGCTAGATCACCAATAACTGCCGTAAGCATACCAATGATTATTATTGATACAACAAAACAAAGCCATCCGCCAGCAATACCTAATTAAATATTTCATTAATTAAAACTTTTATTTTTTGTGTATTTATTACTTGTTGGTGGTACAAAAGCAAATAAAAACTTCCAAAAAAATGATATAAAATGTAACATATAATCTTTACATGTTGCTGGTTTTTCATCTTCATCATTTGTATCACCAGATTCAACAACATCATCATCATCATCTAAAATAAAATAAATCTTCTACAATTATATTTATAATTCTATATACCTTTTACACTAAATGCTTGTTTAAATTGTTCTAACCATGTTGATGTACCAACAAGTATAGCTGTATTTGCTTTATATAAAGCTTTATCAACAGCATTCTTGATTAGAAAAAAAAGAAAGAATGTTAAGATTGAATTTAGAAAGATAAAAAAAAAGAAAATAAACAAAAGAATTTTTTTGTTTTTGTTTTGTTTAATATACTTTAAATTCTTTGCTTTCACGTATACGAATACGTATTGTATTTTTTTCACCTAATCTTGGTTTTCCCAATTCAGCAATTAATTTTTCTTCTTCTGTCATTGCTGAAAGAAAAGAAGAAAAAAAATTAACAAATTCTATTGATTAATTTATTAACATACTTGTTTCTTCTGTTTCATCCTCATCACTAGTAATAAGTGATGGTTCACCTAATTGAACAAGAAATGTTTCATTTCGTTGATATTGATCACGATCAATTATATCAATTGATATTTTCTTTCTAGAAAATAATGATTATATTCATAATACTAATAATAATAATCATGAAATTCAAGGTTTTATCTCAACAAAAAAGAAAGCAAAATAAACCTATGGGTAAGCTTTAACCATATCTCTCGAGGCCAATGTTGATAAGAGCTACTTAATTAATATGATTTTTTACAACATTAGTTAACAGGCATAAGTTCTGAATATGTCAAGTACAGGTCATATGTCTGATGGATAAATGAAGAATAATAATGAAAGATGAAATCTGCTAATTTATAACAAGGAAGTTATACCCATACTTTTTTTTTACGCCTATTTATCTGTCTTATATAATTATAGAAACAACCAATCCTATATTTTAGTAGTAGATAAAGAAAAACAATCCCAATAAATATGTGTTCATGTTAATTGTTTCAGTTAATCATATGTTATTTGTCAATCAGTCTTGCTTAGTAAACACTTGAAATAACGCATGAACAAAGACAAATTCAAGGACATTAGTTTTCTTTTATTCATTATTTCAATCAACATACATTTATTTTTTCCGATTGACATACACATCTATTCTTCTAATAAACAGACCCACTCGATATATTAGAACTCTTGTCGGCATCACAAAAAAAAAAAGAACTCATTCAATGTAGTTTGACAAGCATGTCAAAGCACATACTAACTACAGTGAAGTCTATATATGATTTATTTCTACGAATGACATTAGCACAACAAGTGTTAAAAGGAATCTCCTCCGGCAACGATGCAATTAGCCGATCGACGTCCGATCGCGATTACCGTTTACACTTGTCAAGGCATAGTCTTGTCAAAAGAAAAACAAATTTTTTTTTTCTTGAATACTTACTCATTTTCATTATTTTCAAAAATAACTTCGCCCGTTTTAGTAACATAATCTCTTTCATTTAAAGCTGTTTCATCTTGAGTTGTAAATGGTACTCGTACTCGACCACGAGCACCAGATGTACGTAAAACAGTAATTTCAACATGACCATCCGATTCTACAACAGTTTTTTCATCATTATCAAATACAAATAAACCGGAATGATCATCATCAATAATCATAACAATTGCTGTTGATGGTTCAACTAATTGTACACTTTTATCAAATGCACCTGGTGTTAAACGTCCTTGATTATCTTTTATTTTAAGATTACTTAATTTAATAGAAAAATGTTCATCTAAATAAAGAGAAGAAGAAGAAGACGAAGAAGATTTTTTTGTTTCTTAAAAAAAAAAACAATGTCAATTAACCTTCTTCAAAAATTTCATCGTCAATTATTTTTACTTGAATTTGTTTATGTGTTTCCATTGGATAAAAAATTAAAGTACCCTCAGCTGATTCATAATCAGCTCCATGTGTTGCTGTACCATCTTCAGTTGCATAATCAACATAAACTGTATTTCGTAAATTTCCATCTGTTCGTAAAACATGTAATGTCACATAACCAGCATTTTCTAAAACTGTATAATGATTTGGTTCAAAACGTATTTTAGTTATTTGTGACATTGCATCATTTGCTAATTGTTGTTTTTCTGATGGATCAATTTTATCGGGTTCATTTAATTTTTCTAATAATTTTTTTTTAACATTTCCACCACCACCACCTAAACGTTTTGTTGCTTGTATACGATAATATGCTAAAAACAAAAAAAAAAGAAATAAAATAAAAAGAAATGTGAAAACAAAAAAGTAAAGATTGTTTTTTCTTTATTACATACCTCGAGATTTTGGTACACGATTCATCATTTCAACAGCAGCCATTTCATTTAATGTATGCATATCATGAGTTGGATATTGTTTACGTAATTGACGCCATATATCGATAAATTCATCACGTTGTTGATTATTAATCTGATCGGATAATAATGTTTCATCTAAGCCACCTGCTGAACTTCCTAATTGATCCATTACTCCACCCGTAATAGTACTACCTGGTTTTTTTCCGTGTACATCATTGATATTTTGTGTAACGGAATTTTTAGTTGTTCCATCTAACATATTTTTTTGCTCTGAATCATCTATATTTATTGGTAAAGACGTTGATTTATGATTATCCGATTGTGAAATTTGTTTTCTTGATGTTATACGTATACGTATAAATTGACCAACTTTTGTATCGACAATATATGCCGACACGACAGTTAAAGGAAAAAACAAAAATGTTAATGTTCCTTCCCATACTTCAATATAGCCAGGTGAAATTTTAGCAACAATAGCCCATAACCATATATAGGCAAATATTGACCAAGCTGTTGTAACGAAAAAAACACGTTGATGACGTATACGACGTACTTCACCGGATGGTATCGCCATAATACATATAGCAATTATAACAAATAAATTAAATGCTGCTGAACCAACAATTGTACCTGGACCGAGATCTCCACTTTTAAAATTTTTTCCAACAACTTCAATAATTGATAAAAGAATTTCTGGTGCTGATGAACCTAATGCCATTAATGTTAAATTTGATACAGTTTCATTCCATATAGCTACAGTTGTTATTGATATTGTACCATCGGGATTTTTTTTTCGTATTTCACGTTTTTGTGATGTTATAACTTCAATTGAAGCCATAAAACGATCTGATATAATAGCAACACCAATAAACAAATAAATAAGTGCTAATAGATATACAATAGCACGAGAAATTCGATCACCAATTGATATTCCATGTTGAGGACGCCACATAGGAATAATTAAACCATCTTGTAAACTACAATTTGTAAGAGTTTTTGAGCATGTATTCAATGAATTATTATAATATTCAATAGATTTTGATTGATTAATATCAGTTGCATCATGAATAACAAGTGATGCAATACTGTTTGATAGAAAAAAAATCATTAGTGATGCTAGATAATGACACGAACGCATCACGAATGAACCACACTATGATGATGATGACGACGACAAACGCGTTTACATCCTAAAGAAACAACCATAATGATAATGATGATGAAAGGTGTTTAAAACTACGACCCGAAATCAAAATTTTTCTTTCGCCTTTCTTTTCCACTTCTATAATATTAAAAGAGGAAATTCATTTTCATCCGGAACAGCGACATTGCAACATCGGGAATAGTTAAAAGAAGAAGAAGAAAAAAAAAGAAGAAAAAAAAAAGAAAAGAAAATCTAACAAGAAACCAGAAAAGAAAATTTTCACGTTGACAACTACGATAGAAACGACAACGACAAATTTGGAATTCAATGAGCAAACATCATAAGCATTACAACTTGACTACCGCTCAATTAGTTCAATTATAGGCATACATGACATACATAACACATTACCAAATACGCCTAATAGTTACCTCTATTATTTCATGACTCTTAGCTTTTTTTTTGCTTCTCGCACTATCTCACTATCTTTCTCTCATTGGTGTTCATCTGGGGATTATCTCAATGCCGACTATTTCTCGTTTTCTTTTTTACACCCGTCGATTCGAACACATTATTGTAGAAGTGAGTGCACGCGCTCCAATAGACTCTCAAAACTAGATACACAAAAAAAAAAAAAAGAAAAAATGATGAGACGAATAGCTTTTGCTATCGAATATAATATATAGATAGTGAGAGGAGAATGAACACACCCACAAACCCATATATAATCATTGACAAATATATAAAACTGATCTCATGTTGCTTACATTGTCCAAGAAATATAACACAAAAGAATAAAAAAAAAGAAAACAAAAACAATGATGTTCCTGTTATAGTAGCAGTAGTAGAAATAACTACAGTTATCTATCATGGGAGTTAAGAGATCCATTGCATGATGACGGTAACAATCGAAAACAATATCGTCTATAATGATAGAAAAAAAAAACTGAGTGAAGAAACCTGCCTATTTTTCATCTTTCAATCATGCTACACAGAAACTAGAGGTATTATATAGGCGCACTTCTTGTTTTCTTACAAATGTAGGAATAATATCAATCAGCAAGAGAAGACCTTTTTTTTTTCCTTCTGTTTCGATTTTTGTCTTCTAATAGATTGTTAACTTACATGGTTATTACGGTAATGCGTACTCAGCAGGATCTGTATACGTTATACCCAATGTTAGTGATGGCCGAAATACATAGTAATAGTAGTAAAGGAAACGATCTTATACATAGATATCGACAATGATGATAGGAAGAGAATATTATATCGAAGAAAAGAAACGAAGAGACTGTGTTCGTTTTCTATGATGAGAGAGAGAAAGAAAAGAGGCGAGAAGAAAAAGAGAACGCGGCGCATAAAAAAAAATTGTCGCTTTCAATCAATATTTGTTGGTTATACGGTCATGCCGTGCATCTTTGGCTACTATTGTTGATGATAATTTTCAAAATAATACAATACAACATGAGGACTTCTTTTCTCTTGTTCTTCTTCATAGGGTGACAATAGATGGAGGTCGTCATTGTACGAACGACGGGACAATTTCCTTTTATATATTTATCTCTTCTCTCTCTATATATATGTGTGGGTAAAAGCAATGAAGGATGTCAAGGGCATGCGCGTCTTTCAACAATAGATGGATAGATTGCGATTTGACTCGACATGATGAAAAAGAGAATAACAACAAGATATAGATCAATTAACGCATCCGTAACCAAATAATTGACAGTCATTGGTAACTAGCTATTTATTCTAAACAATAGTTTATTATTAATAATAATAATAAACAAGGTAAAACAAGTAAAACACAAAAAAAAAAGTGATTTTTAACAATACTTAGATATGAATGCTTGTTATGAAATATTGATTATTCATCTATCATTTATTAGGAAGACATCCTCATATTAATTCTTTTCATCAAAATTGTCTTCTCGCTCCATTAATTGTTTAGCATGTATATCAAGATAGAAAATCAAATCTCCCCATTATAATCCTTTTACGCTTATACACGCAAACGAACATTACTGGTATGTTTCTAGAAGTATTATTGTCATCTATTTCTGCTTCTCTTTCTTAATCTTCGTCTTCCTTTTCTTCTTCTTTTTCTTCATACTCTTCCTATCCAGGACTAAGAAGCAACAACATTAGTGAGACCTCCTTATGTGCTTTTGCAATCGATCGATCGCAATGCTCTACTAATTCGCGAAGATGGGAAACGACATTTGATAATCAACAAGCACATGCATATATAAATATATATCTATATATATATACACATACAAGTAAAACGTATATCACTAAAAGAATGATATAATAAAATGTGAAAAATGCGAAGGACTTTAATATTGATACGTAGTTACAAACTATTTAGGTAACTGTTTGGTTGATAAGGCAATGCTAATATTATGCTTCACGGAAAAAATAGCTTGAGAAGTCTTTCATTGGATTTTATTTGGTCTTGTTTGTTTAAAGGATCATCTACTGTAGTGTTTGTTGTTTTTTCCTTGTTTCTCTCTAGAGAGACATAATAACGTTAATTTTGTTGTTATTAGAAATAAAATTCATTTATTCCATCAACTAGAACGATATGAATGATTAGAATGTAAATTTTCAAAAGATAATATATAGGTCAAATATTTACGAATATTTTTATATTTTCATAAAATGTCGTTTTGTCAGTTTTTCTTCCGTCGATAAGTATAGAAAGTGCCTTATTAATGTTATTTTCTAGTGTTCAAGAATTATTAAAATATTCAAGAGAGTCATCTCATTATATGCGACAGCTGAAATATGGTGTTCGTTCAATGTCGATGTTAGTATTATATAAATACATGCATACACAGGGATCCTCTGTTGGTAGTAACAGTTGTTTATACTGATGTATTTCTTTAATTTTTTTTCTAACTAGAATCATACTGTGGCAACGATTATTTTGCATATTAAATATAATGTTTAAAAATTAGCAATATAATAGAAAAAACACTAGGCGATCACTGGTAATATAATTTTGACATTTGTTTTTTAAATTTTCTGTCATATTCTTTCTTAATTATTTACAATTATCATCAACAAAAAAAAAAAAACAATATCACTTGTGACCTTCATGTTCTTCTTCTTCTTCTTCTTCTTCTTCTTTTTGTTTTTTGGCTAAACAACAATAACAGATTTTACATGACATATATTCATGCACAAAAACATCAAGAAAACCAAATGTAATTAATTATTAACCATTAATCATTTTACCATATGTAACATATGAAAATATAGAGAAATATCTTCAATTATTTTTTTTTTCTTTCCGCTCTTTTTTTGCTTCATGAACTTCAAAGTCTTTATTTCTGAATCAAAATAATACTAAGTATTTTATATAATCCTTAAATATAAATAATATGGTAGAAAAAAAAATACAATGAATATATATATATATATATGTCATAGTATATCTATTATTGTTGTTAAGTAAAAAGACAATAAAGGTCACAAGTGATGTCTTCCTGCAGATGATGATCCTAGTTAATTAAAAAAAAATAAGGTCGAATATTTTTAGATATAAATGCCAAATTATATTAAACTGATTTCTTGTTGTTTTTCTACTGATATTTTCTAATTAAAGGCAAAACAAAAAACAAAACAAGAAATTCTGTTTTCTGACAAAATCTGTTCCGTTTTTTTTTTTTTTATATGAAATCAAGAGAAGTAAATAATCGTTTATTGATAATATCGGAAGTATATCATATTTCTTATTTATTTTGTAGAAATCTTAGACTATTTTCTATTTAATCGTAGACTAGAATTGCATGACATGAAAGTCAGGAAAAGATTATTAATTAAATATTTATCTCAAATTAGTTATATCAATTGGTTAAAAACAATAAGCGGTATCAAACGATCACTTAATAATGAATAATTAGAGTGTTATTGTTTTTTCCTGTTTATGTTAAAGACTATAATAAACAACATAAATAGAAAAATCTTTAAAAATGTAAGTGCATCATTGAAATTTTTATTTTTCAATTTCAAAACATTATGAAAATAATTTCAAGAATTCATTTTCTACTGATTGTTTAGTTTTTATTTAAGAAAAAAAAACAGCCTTAGGCATTAGCAGTTTCAGTAAGAGAATATTATTTAATGAAACCTTTGAATCTTTAATAACATAGTTAAAAAAAAACAACCTCATCTTCATACTCATTATTATGCAAAACAAGTTACCATTCTTTTGAGAGGAACTATCACAATAAATATATATAGATTCAAAGTGATAATTAATACAAATTGTCGACTAAACATAAGAGTCGTTTGTTTTTTCTTTTCAATAATAAATATTTGAATTTAATTATTTGTTATATAGAAATTACCATATCAATTCAATGATAAACTTTGCTCTTAATCGAGATTCAATTGAGAAAGACTACTAGATGCCCTACCAATGATAATATCATTGTACATAGTTTTTCTTTTCAATAATGCATAACATAATGATTATAGCAATCTGTTACATATAATGTTTCCTATTGAACGAAACGACAACTATTAAATAATTCAATTGATATAATCTGTTTTCTAGAACATTACTATATTGACAACAATAAATCTTTTTGTTAAGTTAATTCATTTAGTCATGCAATGATTTCCAAATACAATACATTATAAAGCTTTCTATGCTTATCAATAAAAATATAAATAAGCTAAAATATAAAATTCTGCAATCATCAATGTAAAAATATTCTATTAACTATTTTAATAATGTTAACAAATTTACGAGTAATCTGTTGTTTTGCGACTTCTTAACAATTTTTTTTTCCTTCCGGCTTCATTCTTGTTTTATTTGATTACTTAGATATACGTCAATAATCTGCAATAGAGAAATGTTTTTCTTTCTTACATACTTAAAACTACATTATGAATAGAACTATTTGTAATAAGTATCTATCTATCTATAGATTTAGTTCTTTATTGACAAT